CCTGCACGTGGACCAAAAAGATGTCTTGGGCTTGGCGCACAGATTGAATGTGAAAACCAGCGGTCCAGGCAGAACCAGTTCCAGCACCAAGCGTTCGGCTGACTTCGTGAAGCAATATGCTACGAAATATGAGGAACTGCAGCAGCCACGCTCTTGTCTGCGCGGGCGTGAAATCGATTCGAAGACGTCTACCACCCAAGAAGTGTTGAGTGGCCTGCAACAGCAAAAAGCACTCCAGGAGTCTCGCAAGGATGCGGAACTGGGTCAAGCGCATGACACAGACGATGAATACGTTGGACACATCTCTACACGAGACGTTGAGGCCGGCTTGGCCCCTGTGGCAGCGGTGTTGACTTTGTCTCCGGCTGAGAAAGCTTTGCAGCTGGTGCAGCAGAAGCTACCTGTGCTTCAGTCCACTCACCAAGACGGAGCAGAGTATGCAATCTCTCCAGATCAGTACAATGCTGTGATCCTCGCCATCGCGCCCTTGCAACGCCTGTGGAACAAAGCCAACGAAGCTGGACTGGCTCACTGCTTTGGAGATCGCACTCGACTTGACCCGTTGTTGGCTTTGGTTGAGAAGGATTACGGATTCCAAAATTTCGCATGTCCACGCGCTTCCATCGACGGAACTAAATGTCTAAAGACATAAACATAGCTTGTAGCAAGGATACATGATTTTTGTATTTTACATAGAGAATGTACGAATTCATTTGCGCGATGATTAGACCGGGTTGGGGATATATAGATTTTGGATTGGGTTGTTGCGTGTTCCTTTTGTTTGTGAGCCCACGTAGGACATGGTGGCGCGTATTTTTGTACATGGACCTGGAGGCAGCGGCAAAACTTTCATGCTGAAAGAAGTCATCCTCCCGGTCTACAACGAGTTTCTACCTGGGACCACCCGAGGGGTCGCTGCTCAAAACTCTGCCGCTCGACTCATAGGAGGAAGCACGTTCCACCATATGGCTGGCCTCACACGGGCGCAAGAGCTCTTGCTGCAAAAGCCCTCTAAGACCAAGAAGGAGGCTTTGCAGCGTAAGTGGTGGCGGCTTTCGCTGGTCTTTGTTGATGAGATTAGCTTGACTGCACCGAATTTGTTGGCAGTGCTACACGGATCGGCCTGCTATGGTCGTTTGGACCTGTCTCCGGAGGATTTTCTGAGTAACATTTTCGGCAATGTCTTGTGTCAGATTTTGGCTGGTGACTTCCTGCAGCTGAACCCCGTGCGAGCCAGATCCCTCATGGAAGCCTTCGGCATTGAAGTTCCGGGGTGCCTCGATACGAGAAGATGGACGACCAACAGCGCAGGAAGAAAGTCGACATCGATGAACATGGACTTACAGTCTTTCGCGCCTTTCTGAAACAGGTCATCTTGTTCAGAGGCTCTCACCGTTTTCGGAAAGGAGATCCGTTGGCCGAGCTCTTGGAGACGATGCGAGTGGTCGGAGGTCGTCCCTTGTCTGAAGCTCTGAAGGAGGCCATTCGCAAGCAGGTGTATCGCCCGCTGGGAGGCGATCCTCGTCTGAGTAGCGATTACACCATGGCTTCAGGCTCCACTGCGCCCACCGGTCCTCCAGGTTTCTTCGCGCGCGGTGTCTTCAGCGCAGTGAACTGGGACCAGGTAGCTCGTCTCCAGCAGTTGTGCGCATACGAGTCTGCTCGCGCAAGCTTTGGCGTTGCAGCTTTCCGCAACACCCAGACTGGACGTCCCCAGCTGATTCGTCGACACTTTCCGACATATCTTTCGAAGTCCTTTCAGTCTCGCTTCGGAGCGGTCTTCGCGAAGCAGGAATCCTTCTTGACGTCGTTGCTACATGACAAAGGTCGTCTGCTCTACTACGTTCAAGCAGTGGATCTGGTGCATCAAAGTGAGTTCACCAACGACAAATCCATTCTGCGCGAGATTCTGGGCTTGACCAACATGGCAAGTAAAACTGGCAACCTCATGTCGTTCCTGCCGCTGCACTTGGGCTTGAAGGTGAAGGTGACGAAGAAACTTTTACCACCAGAAATTGTGCAAGAGTGTCCGGCCGAGGTGATCGCCATTCAATTTCATCCCAACGAACGCTTTGGCGTGCCTGGCGCGCCCGCTGGTGGTGGAGTCCCCGCGGGGTCGCATCCGTGCTGGGAGACTGGATATGTTCGCCTGGACTATCTCCCTGCCTCGATTACCTTGCGTATTGAGGCCTGGGCCTGCAGCTAAATATAATCTGAACGTCATTTATACGCGGATGTGACTGAAGACAGGTGTCCTGCACAGTTTGTGAACATCCTTTTTTTAGACAGTTTAATCTAACATTCTGTGGGACCCATGCATCTCTGAGTCACACCTGACTTGCAACAGGATCAGCAAGAAGATTATACCGGACAGCTTCTGCCTGGAGTGTGGCATTTAGAACCGAGTGAAGATTCTTTCCGCGTGCAATTGCATCGCAAAGGAGCCTTGATGTTGGATGTTACTCGGATACAGTATCCTCTTGCTCCGCTGGCTGCTGGAACCTACAACAATGCCCAAGGCAAGACCATCAAAGGAGTTGGGCACACGATTGATTTTTCGAAGCCAGATTATTTTTCGGCAGACGATTATACGCAGCACTTGTACATGATTCTTGGACGCGCTCAAGCTCTCGAGTATTCCTTATTTCGCAATTTGCCGGAGACGCCAGAAGGCGATATTGATTTTTCGATCTTTGAGACTGGTCCACCTGCGTATATTGCCGAGTTTTTGGATCGACTGGAGGACTCTGATGTGCTTGTTGACTTGTTTAATGTGCTATATTGGATATCCACGGACTGATTCACCCTGCTCGAGTGATAAGATATGAAATAGCATTCCATCCGCATGCGTGTGTGTCGATCTTGTATCGTTGTTTGCAGGAGGTTGCGCTTTTGTCTCGCTCTGCCATCGAAGAAGCTCGCAGACATCTGCCTGGTTTTCCAGCCGCGGAACACCTACCGCGACCGACCCGCAGAACACCAGAGGGTCGCTTTCAGTACGTCCCAGGGGCTTGGACGGCGGCTACGAGGGCGAGTGTAGTGACTGAGTTCAAGGGAACGAAAAGGAAGTACGACCCCACCAAGTGGCGTCAGCTACGAACGGATTTCTGCGACATCTGGTCTCTTGTGCTGGAAGAGGTGGCCGCTCCCACGGCACAATTTTTCCGAGAACACGGGGCTCTGCGTGTCTTTGCCGCCGAAGCTGGTGGAGGCGGCGATTGCTTCTTCTTGTCCACTGCGGTCGTCCTGATGCAGGCGCGAGCAGTCCACCCACGACTCTTGAATCTTTTCACTTCCGATGAGGTGGCTGACTGGGACGACCGAACTACGGTTGCGGCTGCTCTCCGCAAGATTGTTGGGCGACACATGCGCGCCAACACGCCAAAAGCATTCTTGAACTTCGTCGTAGGGTGTTTGGTGCGCGAAGCTGCGAGGACATGGCTGGACGACTGGTCCATGATCGCACTCTTGCGTGGCTCTCCTTTTGCTTTCTTGAAAGACGCCAACGATGTCCTCGGAGCAGAAGTTGCAGACAACGCCATGCTAGTTCGCTACAAAGAGGGCGACAGCTCCGTGACGAGGAGCAAGAGAGTGCGTTCTGGCACTGCGGCCCTGGTGTCTTTGCAGGATGCCGTGAGCACTGCTCTCGAAGCTTGTGGGAATACTCATTGGGCAACGGACGTCGACTTTGTTGCGTTGGCCACGGAGCTCAATCTTGGCTTCATCATTGCTGGAAATACTTGGACCCAGACGTCTGTTGTTCGAGGCTCCGGTGACACATCTAACAAACGTGTGTGCGATAAATCCATACGAATGTTGGACTAATGACATAACCTATAGGATAGTTTTCTTCACTTCCGTTGTGTGTGTCTCATATACTTCTTGTCGATGCAGGCGAACCACAACAACGCACGGTCTTGCACTCCTATTTACAAGAAGATCAGACGCCGCAATTGTGGATTTCTCTGTATTATGTGGATGGTTATCATTTTCAAGTGCTTATTTTCGAGATTTTGGGACAATGCCATTGTTTCTTTCGTGCCGCGGATCTGCCAGAACCTTTACGTCAGTGCTTGATTTGAATGCAAAACAAAGATCCTTCATGATGAAGACAGAGCTTGGTGGTGAAGTCCCCAGCGCATGCTGCCTTGGTGGTGGAGTCCCCAGCGCATGATGTCCAACAGCGTGTCAGAGAGTGAAAAAGAGATTCTGACCGGCTGCGTCTCTTTTTATACACAGTGGTTTGACGTATGTGTTTGCATTCGGGTTCGTGGGCTCCATCTTGTTTTTTTTGCCACGGGAGGAAGCACATCTGAGACACTACGGTAAGTACAGAGATATAGACTTTACATGACTGTGCACTACTGGTCTTGCCAAGAGACTACTGTTGATCTTTTCCTAGGGTGTCCTTGTCCATATTTCCTTTGCAGTGTATTGGCTCCAATTTGGAGCTATCAGGGTGCTAACCAATCACCAACTTTTAGCTGCCGTCAACAGTGGTTGGAAACTTGTCTTCTCCCTTCTCCCAGGACCTTCCATAACCGATGGTTTTTGGGACACCCGAATCACCTACACACCTCTTTACAAGGCTATTATATTTAATGCTATTGACAGAACTGGTCACTAGTCCCCGTCACGAAGACAGTATTAGCGATCTACCCAAAAGTTCCTAAAGACCCAACTGGGAGATTTGATGTTATGATTCAGAGTACGCAGCATAGCAGAAACTTGGATCCCCATAAAACCCTTAAGACCATTTTAGGGTGCTCGTTTCCGAAACGAGTCGTTTCCCCACTGTCACAATTCAGAATTTGACAGGGACACGAAACGACTTGCCGAGGCACGATGCACGTGTATTGTGGGTGTTCGCCGAACTGTGAAGAATAGGACCATCACTTGCAGCTTTATGGCTCTCGAGTCTCGCTTTTCCATGGCTTCCTTTTCGTTGGGAAGTGAGAACTCATTCTCTCATTCTCCCATTCTCCCGCCCGAACCCCGAGGCCCAAGAACCTTCCAAGCCACTTGGACCGACTGTAGCGGCGGCACACTGGTGCGACGGTCTGACGGATGACGTGACGAGGAACTCGCTGGTGGAGTATGGAACTCGCAGGCTCACGTTCAGGAACGTCCCACGTTCGGCATGTTCAATCTTCCGGATCCAGGGAGTGGTCGGACTGATACACCCAGACGCAGACACTCCGTTCACTCACTCACAGCCCGAACCGACTCCCGAACCCAAGCCGGGATTGCTTCGACCCCCAACCCCGAACCAGTTCGGATTGGCCGAAGCGAGTTGCATCTTCACTCGGCCACCGATCCGGACCGCTGTTTTCGGGGGCCACCAGTGACCGGTCAACGCGACTGGCCTGTTTCAAGCATCCACACGTCGAGCTTCATCGACCGAGGCTATGCCTTCAAGAAGCCTCCAGCGAAGCAGAAGCTCGAGGCCCAGTGTCACCTGACCTACCTCTGCGACGAGGGCAGGCGAGGACGGCGCGGCGGGGCCCACCGGGCGGTCCCGGTACCGGCAGGGAAGAGCTTCGGAGGTGTGAGGATCGTTTTTGAGCGAGTCGATGGTTCGGGTGTTCAGCACGATCCACCCAGTTCGGGTGATTTCTAGGTCTTGGACCAGGTGTTTGGACCATCACCCCCCACCCCCTTCGCCTGCATGCCGTGGTCCACGCGGTCGCCCACGCTGTCACGGTGCTTCGGTCGCCGAAGGAAACGGGGGCGTCGTCTCGGGGGATGAGGGCGAAGGGTGTGAGGGAAGTAGGGAGACCTCCCAGCCCATGCAGTAGGGCGAACAGTGGAGAGCTGACAGTTAGAATATGGATTTCAATGATCACCGATTTAAATACCTTAGAAATCCTTAGAATATGGTTATGTCGTGAACCCTGGGGGTGGGGACTACCAGATAGAATATGCATATTCTAACTGCAGCGCTCTTCATAACATGCAGCTAGGGCTAGGGAGCAGAGCAGTTGTTGCCTTTGCAATGGAAGAGGGAAAACACACAACATAGTTGCAGGAAAAGAGAAGCTAAAAAAAAGAGAGAGAAGATAAAAGATAAAGAAACAGAGGAAAGACACTATACAGACAGAAGAGAACATGTGTACGTAAGATGAGATAAGGCGCACAAAAACATCACGACCGTTTCTGATGCCAAGAACCCACGCCTTCTACCGCGGCCCGACCCCCGCGGGAAAAGCCCTTAAAGGCCACAGTGGGTTGAAAATTGGACGAACGGAGCGATCAGCCACCCTCCTTCATTACGAGTCGCAGTCAGTTCTTTGATAGTGAATCCAGTGGCCGCTCTGCCCAACTAAAACGCCTCTGCAAAGCCTTTCCCGCTCCGCCAGTGATGCGAGCGCTGGCCCTGCTCGCCGTAAACGCGGCGGCGGCGGCCGTGGCGGCGGCCGTGGCGGCGGCAGCGACTACGACTACGACTCCTGGGATGAGAAGGAAGTGGAATTGAAAGTGTCACTGAGTCAACAGATATTCAAAACGCATCCAATCAGAGGCTCATGGATTGGACCCGAACCAAGACCCCTGCCACGACGGTTCAACTGAGGGTCCAAGGTTCCGAGCAAACTGCGCTTACTGAGCCTGTGGGCACGACCCTATACAGAACATTCCAGCTCGAACGAATGAACCATCAGAAAGTGAGCAGTTGCTGAACATGTCAGGAGTTGCTCAGAACATCTCAGAACCCAACAATTTTTCTTCCTAGCGCTAGGAAAGAAGCAGTTGCTGTGATCAGTTGCTGTGATTCAAGTTTCTTTGGGATTTGCACAGGTTTGTGGTTTGTTTGAGGAAAGACCCTGGCTCTGTTGGGGGTGCTAGGCCATGCAGCCCTGATGCCACCAGGGTGGGGTTGAACTTACAGATGTGCAAGTGAGGATGGTTTCTATACATAATTATATGATTTCCTTTGTAACGCTTGCTTGGTAGCTGGACTGGGCAAATGAACTCCACCATGAAAGCCATGCTCTCATACGCTCGCTCGCTCGCTCCAGCACACCTCTCACAACACGGTGTTGACCGACGCGTCGGACCGATGAGTAGTTGAGCAGCTTCGGTGCTACACAGAGCGCCACTGCCGTTGAATGCCGTCATCTGCCCCCGGGCCAGGGGTGTCCAATTAGAGCTCCTTGTCCAGGTTCAGGGACGTCCAACCACCCCAAACCGGGGGGCCTGGTCTGAGGACTGGGGCTCCAGCGTCTGAGTGGGTGGCCGCGGCCGGCTTTCAAGGGAGACCGCGGAATTTCGGAACAGGTTCGACTGTCGAAAGATTGGATCAAAGAGTTTAGATCACCATAATGTTTATAAATAAATATATATATATATATATTAGATCACATATATATAGTATAGATCATTTGAAGTCGAACATATTTGCACTATCCCCGATGTTTCGACCACTCGTACAGCGCCAATCTTCAGTTGAGCCAAGTCTTGCTAGACCCGTTGACCGAACCGGCCCAATGGCCTTTTCTTCGGTGCGACGGAATGATTGGGGCCTGAAACTCTGGGGCCCAACCTTGATTGATCGCTACGCGTTTTGATGCGACCGAACGGGCGGGCGCGAACGGACGTCCGTTTGGGCGTCGGACACGGCGGACGTGGCGCGGGACGGGTGGGGTCGGAACATCGTGAAAGAACTCCTGTACACTCCGGGCCGTCGACGTGTGGACCCTCCATGAAGCCGTGCCAATGAGCGAAAGAAGCCGTTGGGAAGTTCCAAAGTCATATGTCACGGACTAGTGAGTGCTGAGTCTAGTGATGACCTCCCTCGTGCTTCTTTTTTCGTAGCGAAGGAGGGACGTTTCGCACCGCAGAAATTACACAATTGGATCCATTCCTCATTCATTGCACAGTTGAGCGAATGAGCCCTCCCGGACCTGACCTCTTTTTCGGGCCTCCGGAGGTCGGGCCCAAGGACCGGACCCGCCTGGCCTCCGGCGGCCCTCCGGGTCGGCCGGCCGTTCGCGCCCTCCCAGGCCCGAGGCCCTGCAGGAGGCGCTGGACCAATGTCGTGCATGGTGGTCGGGGACGCCCAGGCGTCACGTCGTCGCTTTCGGGTCGGAGAGACGCGGAGATGCGCTTTTGAGGGATTCTCGTTCCTTTTTATATTTGAGAAGCATCACTTCTCAATCATCTGTATTTTGATTAAAGGATCTGTGGTCTTGGCTAGTTAGGGAGTATTAGCCGAGAACCTTCAAGCTTCCAGAAGTTGTTGTTTCTTTTGTCCTCCCCTTGGTCTACAGTCTACATTCCCCTGACACTCCAAAGGCTGGTCGACCATATGCAGTCATTTCAATTTTACACCCGATGGTCATGGATCTTCAGGGACTCATTCCAATTCTTCCCAATTCTTCATCCTCCGCAAGAAGAGACGAGCGAACGAAACGAGCTTCATTCGGTGACGCGATCGTTCTTCAGCGCCGCGCGTGACGTCTCGTCGGTCAGCGGTGAGAATCGACGGATTCTCAGAGCCTCCGGGACCAAAGATCAAGCTTCCCACTGAAGAACGAAAACGAAGAAGCCTGAGAAGAATCTGATTGTTCCGTTCGTTTTTCTTTGTTTTGGTGTCTTTTTTTAAGGCATGGAAGTGAGTTCCTTGTTGTTTTAAACGATGTCCCTTTCGATTTCCCTTTCGATGTCGCACCCGTTCCCCAAGCGTTCCCAACTCTTCACACGGCACTCGCGTCGTTCGCGGTCACCGCTCACCGGTCTCGTGCGAAAGGCGGGGCTGAGCGGCGAGGAGAGCACCTCGATCCCAGGTGCCTTGAAGATCGTGAAAGCGCAAAGAGAAGAGGAGTATCATACCCACCATGATTTACCACAGACGGGGTTGTTATTGGAAAATACATGAAAAAGCGATGGTCTTCATACACCAGTATTTTTTTGGTGGTGCTGGTCGTTGTATATGTTACGAACAGTAACAGTACCAGCCAACAGTATCAAACACCGACAACAAATTAGCCCAAACCATCCCAAGTCATGCCTCATTTTTGGGGATATTTTTGCGGGGTCAGAGTCGAAAGAAGTCGAATCCCCTCAGTTTGTTTTCAACCCTCGAAACAGGTCGGTCGATTCTTCGGTGGGCATCTGGGCTTTCGTGTTCGGCACCGTGTGATCTGTGCGACGCATGGGTTTGGCTGGGCGCGCCACCGGTCACTGTAGGTCGGCTGGGTCTTTGGTTGTGTTTTGAATGGAGGGTATTTAACGGATTAGGGAGCCTTGGGACTCACAGTTGATCTCTGCATAAAAACAACCCTGGTTGGCCTGGTTAGAGAGGACATTGGAAGGGGCAAGGCGGTCCTTGATTCTTGTGACAGTTTGGCCACCCTGCATGTGTCCAGGGAAAGATCCAAGAAGCTTAAATACAAAACTCTCCTTTGTTAGGCAATTCTGATGACCGTCATATATCGTTCTCCATGTTGCTCCTATATGTTCCATCAATACCAGAAAGATCCTGAACGCCTGAACGAAGCCGTCTGCAAAATCACTTTGGGGACCCTCCTCCTGATCCTCCATGTGCATTCAGAGCTTGCGAAAAAGCAGAGTCATACCCGCAGCGAACAATTCAGCGAGCTGTGCAGAGGTGTTTTGCAACACCGTTGGGTTTGTGCCGATCATGTTCTTTCTTTGTGCCGAAGGATCCCCAGCTTGGTCCTTGAACACCCGAGAGAGGGTGCCATTCTGGTGGCAACTGAACAGCAATGGTCCAACTCTATCTGGTCATTCACCGGAAAATGCCGCACCCTGCCGTTGGCTTTTGGTCGGTGACACCGAACATTGTTGGTCGAAGACCTGACCCCAGCATGGACATATCCATCGTTTTTGGGACGTACTTGGATGTACGGTTTGGAACGTTATATGCAGTTCTACAATGAAACACCATCAAGAACTGCCATGGGCCACCGGCATCTTCCGGCCTGGGGTCGAAAACGGGGGTCACGGTCACATCTGTCCACAGGGGAATGAAAGGGTGACAAAGCGACCGACCCTCCGTGCTTTGACAAACCCATCCAGGATGACTTGGTCGATGACTTGGTCGTTGGTGCTTTTTGGTACCTTTTTGGGAAGAACCGACGGCCATGTATACTATACAGGCCGGGGGGCTGATTTCTTGGTTCAACCTGTTTCTTCGGGTGTTTTTTTTGCAGGGTTGGGTGTGACATGTCCTCCCCATGGGGTGCAGAAGAATCGATCAAACGAGATCAAACGAAGAGAAAACCTAATAATATCGTAGGAGTAAAATCGAAATTGTCCATCATTACTGTAGCTGAAGTGAAAGCATCACCCATGCTGCTTCTTAAATCTCTGTTTTAAACTCGCCCGTTTGCCAACACAAATCGTGGAGTAAGCTATGCAAGCTATGCTTCCGCTTCACTGATTTATTTGTGTTGATCAGAATTGTTTTTTTGCTGCAACAAAGAACAGAAAATCCCTTCAGCTCGGGATGCACAAATGTTGGGACGCCTTGGTCGAATCCTGTTTGAACACCAGTCAGAGTCACACGAGCCGGAGAAAAATCAAACACCAGTCAGAGTCAGTAGCAGCAAGTTAGGAACCCTTCCCAGGACCAATGGTCAAAATAGGACAAAATCCAATGATTGTCAGTACCTGGACTTCCAATACAAACAAACCAGTAGAACAGGGGAGCCTCTCATGTTTCAAGCAGGTCAAGCTGCCCACGGTCTCCACCTTCGCCTCAGCACCACGGTGTTTTTAGATTTTTTGAACCGGTTGGAATGCATGGCCGCGCTGGGTGCTCTCAGGAGGAGTGCGGAGCAATTCTGGGGTGCAGGGTGCTGGTGTGTCACTGTCAGCGAGGAGGACAACCTCTTCAGGTTATGGGTACACAGTGATTTGATATGAAGAATGGTTATAAAATGTTATATATTAATTGATGAATTGATCATCCATGCATGGTTGGTCTATCAGATCATAGTCATCATTACTTTCAGAGTCTAGGAATTGGTGTAACATCAAAGACTCGCCTTCTTTCGACCTCCTCTTCTTCCAAACGATCAGGATCCGTGACTGCACCGTTTTTCCGGTTCGGATCCTTCCCCATCGTCGACATCGACGTCGGTCAAACGGGGCGAGCGCGTGCTAAGCGTCTTCTTTCGCAGCTCAGCGGAGCACCCGATTTTTGGGCCCATGCGATTCCGTGGCGAAAGCAGCGGCGATTTTCCGTGCCTGATCCAGGCTTCGAGCCGAGGACGAACCAGCACTGGTACCGGTGATGCTGGATGGCTTCGAAAAAGGATAAAACAAGTCGTTGCGATCTTTTGCATTTATATGCTATGGCGCCATGCATAGAATTGTGATCCGATCTTGGAGCCGTAACGATTTGCACAGCATTCTGATGCCGCACCGCCGCGATGTTTTGGTGTTTGAAGTGTCGGTCGATGGGCAACGGCGCCCAGAGTTTACACGACCACTCCTTTTGCCACGGTGGGAACTACGCAGTGCGCTGCGGCTGTCCAGACGGAGCGCTGGGGACCTGAACGATGATTCTCCGTGCGCAGAAAAGAATCCGAACTCGGACCCCATCTCAACCCTTTGAAGGAACTATATTACCCTGGAAGTCCAATTCGACGATTTTTGGAACCACCCAAGTAAAGGAAATTCCTTTCGGATCACCCAAGAATGGCCTTGGACTCCCAGGGTATATACATAAAATATACATATATATATATACTATATTATATATATTGAAATAGTTAACTTGTGCAGAGTTTGTGTCCCGACCTTGGCGAAGCTGCGAAGTGTACATCAACTGGATTGACGTGACTTTGCAAATATTGGGTACCATTTCTTGGTCTCTCTCAACCGAATTTGGCATCTCACCGTCAGAATCCATCCAAAGAAACGACTCCCCAGCCAAGCTCATCCATCAGCAGTTCCTGCCGCCGAAGTCTTTTTTTTGCCCGTCCAGTTCATCGCTCCGATTTCGGGGAGAACCTCAATGGAGCTCCGGGTAGATGGATCCCCGGATTGCCAGCGCCTCGTGCCCGCGCGCCGAGGGGCTGAGAGAGTTTTCCACCGCCCTCCAAAACCGAAGCGCTGTGATGGATGAAATGGACGGTCGTTCGTTTCAGGTAAAGCCCCTCAATCGAAGCCTCAGTTTTTCCTCTCCAGTTTTTATCGGGCCGGTGATTATTCGCCCCAATTCCAAGGCAATGACAGGAGTTCAAAGGAATTGAAACGCAAAAGCCAAAGTTGAAGTGTATATACAGCATCAACAATTCAACTTACTCTAGTTTGAGTGATCCCCACCCTGAAAGGCTTCATTTGAAGAAGGCAGGGCGCATGTGTTGACAGACTAGTCCTGACAAAAGCGGTCATGCGGATTGGCACCATGTTGGTGCTCTGATATCATCTATCATAGAGGCTGAGAAATGTGGACTGTGTTCTGACGTCCTTGTTGGTGTGTATTCTGACACTTTTTCCTGTCTGACATGTGATGTGACATATGGACCGGCTTTCCTGCTATGTGCTCTGACATGCATTCCGACACTTGTTCTGCCATCAAATGTGTCCATCATGCAAAAATATACTGGCGCCCTATCTGGCATATCTCCTGGCGCTCTATCTTGCAAACATGCTGGGCATAATTGCTGGCATTCTACCAACCTCTCATTCGGGCACTCTATCTGGCATAGTGGCTGGCCTGGCAGTCTATGTCATAAATTTGTTGGCATTCTATCTGGCATACACGGTCCGGTGGCGTGCTGCGATCCAGCGCTTGCTGTGGAGGTCCACGAGTGCTCACTGTGATCTGGAGCTTGCAGTTGAGGTGCCCACTGGGATCTGGCGTTTGCTTTTTCTAGAATCTAACAACCCTCACCTGACAGGTGCGGAACAATTACAGACTGAGCAGAGCAGATCAGGAGTTCATATGAGCTGCATGTCAAGATCTTAAGGGAAGCTGCAAAGACATAATGGAACCCCAGAACTAGCAATCAGGGAAAACATATGAAAACATGCAGTTCAGTAAAACGTCCAAGGGACAGATCCGTGTATATACCACCATTTTTGGGTTGATGAGCGGAGGCCTTGGCCAAGGTCTCAGGCTGATACCGGTTGTTTTTGCTTCATTTGCTAGTTTTGGGAAGTGGACACTTCACGTCATCCCCTTTTTGCGGGGGTGTTTTGGGGCTTTGAAAAGACGAGACTGTGGCAGAGAAGATTGGCTGGCAACAGTTGCAATACGCAACACATATGATGTTGAAACACGTGTGTTGTGCGTGCATGTACCCGTGGTAAAAGAAGGTCCAACTGAGCCAAGTACAGTACTGTACCTAGAATCCCTGTCAGTGCTGAAGCATCCTTCGCAGTCTTCAATGGTGAGTTCAAATTCCTTGCATCGATCGTGCATCGAATGGATAAATCAACAGGAAGAGTTCCCCAGAACTTCCAATGACTCATGTTCCCCCACCTGGAATCATAATCCACCAATGCCAGTTTGGGGTAAAATGAGTCATTTAGCAACTCTCAAGGAATTCTCTCATTCTTCCATGATTTTCACCGTTTTTATCCAAATGGAGAGCCTTGTTTCTTCCGTGTTCTCCCCGAACTGTCGTCAGAGACCGCGCCGTGGCGATCCATCGCCGGATCTCCGCCGGAGACCCGGCACAAAAGCGATCCGCCGCGGGCTGCGGCACTGAAGTTTTCCGGAACATGGATGCGGCATTGGTGTGGCGGGCCTTGGTCGGTGCCTGAAAATATAGAGGAAAAAGAACGTGTGAGAGAACCTCAGTGGGTTATAGTGGATTCGTAGAAACCCGGCAGATTTGCACTTGAAGCCATTGGAGGGATTGGAGAGGAGAAATGCCATCAAATGCCATCCATATTATCATGGAATATCATGGATGTGCGCCCAAGGGGTCAAGCCCAGATGAATGTAGCAATTCCAGACCCACCCCGTGAATCAGTTGTCAGACAAATCATTCTCCTTGGGCTCCTGCCCTCAGATGGGGTTTGGGGACTTCAATTTTCGACTAGTTGGAGAATCCATCACCAAAAAAAGGGGGGAACTGAAGGGTTTCAACTGAGTTCAGTCCAATGATTCCAATGTTTGGTCGTCTGCTTTGGAGCCCCAGACAAGTTCAAGATGGATGCTTTGGTCGTGTGGTCCTGCCTGAAGCCCAGTGCTTTCCCAGACCTCGCTTTCCTCCCATGCGTTCCACGCTCGGTCCACGCGTTCCACGGAGCTTCACCCGACCCGACGCCGGACCACACGACGAACCGCCGCAACACGGCGACCAGACGACGGTGACAGAGCCTTTTTTCACGTGCAGAAAGATGGGTCGCGCATGCCGAAAGCTGTCCGTGGGGCGGTGGAGGGAACGGGTATCCGATCCCAGTGACCATCCCAACAAATGATCAGCATACTTGGTGTGACATCTTCGATGACTAGGCGACATGAATAGTGTGGTTTGTGGAGTTGGGCCATCCTCTAAAAAGCGCTGATGTGAGCACGGTTGATTTACGTTCTGCTGAGGTTCAGCTGCGATGCTTGCCTTTGAGCCATTGCAAGACAGGATGACACTTGCAT